ACCCTTACCTCAACTTACATCGTAAAATAAAACGTAAAACAGTAAAAAAAAAAAAAAAAAAAAAAAGTTCCATAGCTACAGGTGCTAACACATCGCCGTGGCAACCAGACCCGAGTCTCTAGCACTAACCTGGAGTCAAAAAAAAAAAAAAAGTGCTGTTCCCCGGTGTCACCCGTGGGGCCCGTTTAGCATTAAGACAACACACAAAAGCATGCAGACTGCCAAAGAAACGCATGGAGAAAACAAAACTAGAGCATTTGTACAGAAACAAAACATTGTCCAAGTTTCAAAAAATATAACTTTGTACAGCTATGGAGGTCTGTTATGGTAAACGACAGGTTAAACGACAAAGGTTAGTGAAATAGACGGGAAAATGTGAACGTTTCTGCAAATCGTTGATAGTTTTGTTCATTTCTGTGAAAAAAACTAAGCAAAAATAGCGTCGTTTTGGTGAAATTTAAGACAGTGACTGAGAATAAATAAAAAAACGTAAACTACATTTTCATTGAGGTATTAGCTAAACAACAGTTATTTATATTCTTGGTCCCAAATTGTGTTACCTGAAAAAGTTTTACTAAGTTTTCCCTTTTTTTTTTATTCTTTAGATCAACAGAATGTATTTTTATTTATTTATTTTTTGTTGTTCTTAAAGTTTTATAAAAATATAGCAAAAAACAGATAAGCTAGCTTGCTAAAAATAGCGTAAGCATAGCCTTAGCATTAGCGGGCTAGCTACAAATAACAGGCTTTTACATTGGTTTTTGCTAGCGCCAAGTTAGCATATTACAATCTCTTTAGCATACATTTTAAGCTAAAATACACGCTTTTTTCAATCAGAATTTTTAAATAAAATTAGTGTAGTTAATCGTACAATATTTTAATGCCCTATTTCACTAAACTACTACAAAAATAGTTTAAACACCACAAAACACTCGCGATTTTGTAAGCAACTCGAACCAAATTCCAAAACTTAAAATTTGAAATAGCAAAAATTCCGTATCAAGGATTTGCAGAAACATTTTGAACTCACTCAACATACAAAAACGGATCGATTTTTGAACGTTGTAATTGTATTTTTAAAAATTTCGCACAAAGGACGATGATCACACAGAATGGTAAATGCGTATTAGACATTTCGATCTCTTTGGTGAGCTTTTAAAACATGATTTAAAACATGAAAAATAAAAAGATTAGCTGGTTTAAATGCTGTTTAAAAAGGCCCTGCTGCATACTTCAAACGCGGGAGACAATTTTTGTACAATTCTTTGCATAACTTTTGAAAACCTTTGTAATAGTGCAACTGTTTTTGACACTAAATCCCCCATTTCTTAGTTAAGGATTCGAGGTTTTTATTTTCGTTTTTTATATATATTTTTTTTACATGCAACAAAGTGACTGAAAAGTTTGGTCGTATCTTACAAGAGGAGGACATCGGAAAGTTTAAAGGGAGCTGATTTTGACATCGGACACAGGTTTTCAGACGTAAACAATGTCGCCATGGATACGAGGTTCCTATGCAAAGGTAACGTCAAAATTTGATTCTATACTACTATTGTTTACAAAATTTCCAGGATTTCTTAGCAAATTTTGATAGATTATGGTTAGAATTTTTGAATTTTAATGTAACCATGAAAACTTAAAGACCTTGTACCTGATTTTTACGGTTTTAAAATCATCAAAAACACGATTAATTTGTTTAAAACAGTTTCGCAGTGGTCCAAAAGTTCTTCCTCACTTACTTTATTCATTCAGAGCATCCTAATTATTCAGTTTATAAGCGGTTTTGACAATGTTTAGAGGCCAGAGCGACGATAACTAGCATGCTAACAGTGCACTTCCTGATCCTCGGACGTTAAAACACTTTATATTTCGATACAGTTTATTTTGACCTCAACAGCTGCTTATACAATGGCGCAAGATTAATTTTGCGCAAATACGTGAGAAAATAAATCATAAACAGCACCTTTAGTGTTATTCCTTCGCCCGGAATGTTTCGCAGTAGAGCATTAAACTTATCCATCTCCAGAGAATCAAGCCACGAGTCAGATCTATCAAGAGGCGAGCCGCATTCACAGCAAGAATGCGTGTTTTTACGAGGTATTTCTTTTGGCAATATAAACACGTGGTAAGTTAGTTTGATGACGTACTGCGGAACATTCCAGACATGACAGTAATAGCTCCATGGTGACAAGCAGGAGACGAGAAAATTACATAATGCGCATTTAATTTTTAGTTTTTTGTTTGTGAGCTGATTTTTTTCTTTTCAAGGCCTCAAATTTGACTTGGCACGACAACATCAAAACAGGATTAACGTCAGTGGTGGAACTTAATGATGTACAAAAGTAAAAGTACAATGTTTAAGTATCTGTACTTTACTTAAGTACATTTTACACTGGATACTTTTTACTTTTACTTCACTACATTTGAGAGCAGGTGTCTGTACTTTCTACTCCACTACATCTTTGAACAGGACTAAAAAGTGAAAGTACTTTTCTTTATAGTTTGCCACCTGCTGAAATGGCTGAAACTTATTTTTTATCACATTTAATTTGAGTTAACGTCCCAATTTTCAGCAAATCAAATACTTAAAAACACAAAAACAGCTAGATTAAATTAAGAAATCAATAGAAATCACTTAAAATCTCCTTTAAACATTCTAAAACTCTCTGCAAAATACTTCTACTTTTTACTCTTAAAGTATATTTTTAAACAGGCACATTAAAACTAACTTAAAATACTTGAGTTGATTTTTTTCATGTGATACTTTTAGTTTTACTTGGGTCATATTTTGCCCCAGTAGCTGTACTTTTACTTAAGTAACAAATTTGAGTACGTCATCCACCAATGGTTAGTATAAAGTCTGAACACCTTTCTGTTAGTACTAGATCATAGTATTATACTAGTATTTCTGAATGAAGTATTGTCATATTTTGGACCATTCTAGGACGATACAACAGATAATTTACCGACAATACATTTAAATATTAAGAATCAGATTTCATAGATTAAACTCATTTGCATAGGAACCGTGTTTTAGCTAAAACGTCAGTGTGGCGATTCGTACAAACAGCACTCACGTCTGAGATCTACACTACCGGAAATGAAATGGATCTGCCTGTAAAGCTGCACCGTGGAACTTTTCTGGAGGGTGGAGGGTCCGTCACTGGCTTAAGCTCACGGAGATGCGGCTGCTGTTTTGCCCGGAATAGTCCGCAGTATTGCATAAAACTTGTCTGTTACCATGGAGACACTAAAAACGTACGCATTTTTGAGTTTTGTAGATGAATAAAAGCAAGGTGGATACGTTTAATGCCATACTGTGGAACATTTCTAGCTAAATTAATCTGAAATCTTCCACAGCATTGCATTAAACTTATCTATCGCCATGGAGACAACAAGCAAAGAGTTACAGGTCAGATCTGTGGGGAAGTGATTCCGATCATAGTAAAAATGTATGTATTTTTGAGTTTTGTAGGTGAAAAAATGCAAGGTTTAATGCCATATTGTGGAATATTTCTAGCAAAATGTATCTGAAATCTTCCACAGCATGGCATTAAACTGGTCTGTTACCATGGAAACAGGCACAGGATGTCAGCAAACCAGGATACAGATACAGGTCAGATCTGTGGGGAGGCGATTCCGAATTGAACTTTTTGAATTTTGTAGATGAATAAATGCAAGGTTGATACGTTTAATGCCATACTGTGGAACATTTCTAGCTATATTAACCTGAAATCTTCCATAGAATTACATTAAACGTATTTATCGCCATGGAGACAACAAGCAAACAATGCCACCAAGCTGAGTTACAGGTCAGATCTGTGGAGAGGCAATTCTGCTGACACTAAAAAAAAATTTGTATTTTTGAGCTTTGTAGATGAAAAAATGCAAGGTGGATACATTTAATGCTATACTGTGGAACATTTCTAGCTAAATTAACCTGAAATTTTCCACAGTATTGCAATAAACTTGACTGTTACCACGGAAATAAGCACAGGATGTCACCAAACCAGGATACAGGTCAGATCTGTGGGGAGGCGTTTCCATTCACAGTAAAAAATTTATTTTTGAATTTTGTAAATGAATAAAAGTGAGATGGATATGTTTAATGAAACACTGTGGAACATTTCTAGCAAAATGAATCTGAAATCTTCCAGAATATTGCATTAAACTTATTTATCACCATGGAAACAACAAGCAAAGCCAGGATGAGTTACAGGTCAGATCTTTGGGGAGGCGATTCCGCTCACGGTAATGATTAAAAAACAATAATGCCATACTGTGGAACATTCCCAGCAACGCAATAGCATCTCCAGAGACAAGCAAATAACGGACCGCCCTCCAGAAATGTTACGTAGCGCGCCTTTACACTGTTATTTTTATTTCCTTTTCAAATCCTTAAATTCTGTAGCTACAAAAGACTTGATTCTGAAAAGTTTAATTCTTATTTTTTTTTAATATATTTCCTCGCAGGTGAATGAGCAGCGATCCCATGCACTGCCATGCACTGAAGCTACAAGCCTGCCAGAAAACTGCATTTCCCACAATGCATCACTACATCCTACCTGTGTGACTTGCCATACTACAAGATGCTACTAATCGTGTTACTTTACGGGCAAAATTCTTCCCCTTAAATCGTTCAAAACTAGCTAGGATTTCAACTAAACTTTCGCTATTTCAAATCTAGAAACTTTAGCTTGGATTTGAATTAAAAGTGCTAATTTTTATCATGATTTCTCTACATATTTCCCCACTAAAATGCAATGAACGGAAACGAAAAAGGTTGACCGATATTTACCTACATTTTTGTGCAACCAAGCGTAATATTATTGCAATTTTGTCCAATCGAGATACATTTCCTGGACATTTTTAAATTTCTAAAAACTATCTAAACTATCGCCTACAATTGTACAATAGAAAGTGTCTCTTTGCAGATTGGCAGTTGACACAAAACCCTGAATTCAAATCAAAATTTTGACATTATTTGACCTAAGTTACTGTTTCTTATCCATTCCTGACATTTTAATTTCAGTATATTTTTTTTAAACCAAAACATACAAGACTTTCGGACGGATTTAACAAAAAAACATCGGTGCAATATTACAGTAGACGTGTAGCTGTGCGTCTTTTTAAACTTTAACACAAAAAAATAATTTGCGATTTCGAGTTTTACAAATCGCAAACAGCACATTCTGAATTTTTTAACAACACTGGTAGCACAATACAGATATACCAAATTGGACATGATTTTGGTATCGTTAAAACATGCAAAAAAACTTCTCTATCCATATAAACTTGAAGCTTACGCAGCTGACGATTCATTCCCATAAAATCTTCTGTACAATGTCCGTGTATTTTATATAAAGTTGCATAACAGACTTGATAATGTGGGATGCTGGCTAGAAAATTAAGGGGAATGTTATCAGTTTTTCCGTGTTTTTGACATCACAAATTCTTCGGATTTTTCCACGATTCATCCGAAAGACGCTTGATTCACTCGAACTCGCTCCCGACAGACAACAGTCGCTGCAGAGGCTGATGTTGGCCAGCAGGGGGCGCACTCAGGTGGTCAGGGCGAACTGGTCTTGCTCTATGGGCTTTTTGACCCAGGCGCCCAGACCGGCCTTCTGAAACGCCCTGAACAGAGTCTGTTTGGCCGAGTGGTACTCAGCCGCCGCCTGCTTCGCCTCGTGGTAACTGGAGGGACGCACGGTTCGGATACGCAGAGTCGACGAGAGCTGCGGAGGAAGAGGAGGAAGAAGAGGGGTGGGAGGAGAGGAGAAAGGTCAAAAGGTCAAATTTATTTATATACCATGTCAACAAATATATTGGCCCAAAGTGGGGCAAAGAAAGGTACAAAAATACAGGAAGTAGCAAAAATACCTTTGTCATCAATACAGAAAATTCCATCCAAAATGCAGGAACAATTTTACATTATTGTCTAATAATAACTGTTTAGACAAGTTGTGCTCCATGTTTTCTAGGTATCGGTTATGGCATCACCTCTCCATATGTGTGTGTTAAAAAAAATAAATAAAAAATCCAGTTATGTTAACTATGTTTCAGTGAAATGAGCAGTTTAACTGTCATCTGCACCAAGCCCCACACCCAGTGGAACAAACAAATTTATTTGAAATAAAATATAATTATTTACATACCATTTTGTCCGGGGGTCTTTGTGCACAAACTTGGGTTTGGTTTCTTTGGTTTGGTTTCTTTGGCCAAAAATGTTCTCCTGAGTTTAGATATTAAAGTATCCAACACAAATGTGTCAGTTTGATCAGAGCTCAGTCCTGGGAGACGCTGTAGGCGCAGACTTGGCAGCCACACTGCCCTGAGGCAGCTGTGGCAGATACACAAGTATTATCTGAATATAATCCATGAAATCATAAACTCACTCAGATTGTGTTAAAACTGCTGAATGCACGGTTTTAATTTGTTTAATGCTCTTATACCACGTCCACAAACTGAAATATCTGGTATAAATATTTTTAAAGACTCGTCCCATTTGTAAGATTCATATCAGCGTACACACGTTCATATCAGCGTACACACGTTCATATCAGCGTACACACGTTCATATCAGCGTACACACGTTCATATCAGCGTACACACGCGTACACGTCATATCAGTTCATATCAGCGTACACGTTCATATCAGCGTACGCGCGTCATATCAGCGTACGCACGTTCATATCAGCGTACACGCGTTCATATCAGCGTACACGGCGTACACGTCATATCAGCGTACGCACGTTCATATCAGCGTACGCACGTTCATATCAGCGTACGCACGTTCATATCAGCGTACACGTTCATATCAGCGTACGCACGTTCATATCAGCGTACGCACGTTCATATCGCGTACGTTCATATCAGCGTTCATATCACGTACACGTTCATATCAGCGTACACACGTTCATATCAGCGTACGCACGTTCATATCAGCGTACGCACGTTCATATCAGCGTACGCACGTTCATATCAGCGTACGCACGTTCATATCAGCGTACGCACGTTCATATCAGCGTACGCACGTTCATATCAGCGTACACACGTTCATATCAGCGTACGCACGTTCATATCAGCGTACGCACGTTCATATCAGCGTACGCACGTTCATATCAGCGTACGCACGTTCATATCAGCGTACACACGTTCATATCAGCGTACACACGTTCATATCAGCGTACGCACGTTATATCAGCGTACGCACGTTCATATCAGCGTACGCACGTTCATGCGTACGTTCATATCAGCGTACACCGTTCATATCAGATATCAGCGTACGCACGTTCATATCAGCGTGTGCCACGTTCATATCAGCGTACGCACGTTCATATCAGCGTACGCACGTTCATATCAGCGTACGCACGTTCATATCAGCGTACGCACGTTCATATCAGCGTACACACGTTCATATCAGCGTACCTTTCCGTGCAGGCGCATCCAGCGGCTGTAGAGGGCGTGTTTGCAGAGCCGTGAGGGCCGTCCCAGGTCGTCCTTCCCTGTGGTGGCGTTGATCACCTCCAGAGCCTGGTCCCCCACGGCCCAGTTCACACTGAAGTTTGGGGCTTTTCCGGGCTGACGAGCCTCTGCGTTACTGATGCCTGCCAAACAGAGAAGAACAACGCAGGTTTGAACTGGGTTTAAAGATTTCTCCATGTGTTTGAGAATATGAGAGCACTGTGTCCTGTCTGCATCTAATTATAAAGTGTTTAATTGTTCTGCTGTTGTTAGCATTACAGTGATGGTAAAACTTTGGTCTCTGAAAGTGCTCATAAACTCATTGTGGTGAATAATTAGGATGCTAAGAAGTAAGTGAGGAAGTTATTCACATTTACACTGTTACACATTATGTCCTAATTGTTTGGAGTTGGGTTTTGTGTTCACATTCAGTTTATACAATCAGAAAATGGAATGAGCTCTGCACTTTGAGTTGCCAGATCCAAAGACTAAAACCAATCAATCCAAAATGGCTCTGAATATATTTATTATAGACAGTATTTATGTATTATTATTGTAGTATCTGACCGCTGAGGAGGGGTCGGTTGAGGCTGAAGCACTGGGGCAGGTCTTCGATCTCAGTGATGCGCTGGTACATGGCTCTGGACAGATGGTCCGCGTGATACAAACTGCCCAGGATGATACTGGAGAAGTAGATCGGCTCTGTGAAGTAACTCATCAGAGAGCCCTGGAAACCAACGACGTTCCACCTGAAAGAGAGAGAGAGAGGAGAGAGAGGGAGAGATAAAGGGAGGTAAGTGGAGAGAGAGAGAAAAAGAGAGAAGGAAAGACAGTTAACCAGCTGGTGTGGGAACAACAGCTGAGAGCAGAGACGTCCAGCGACACCTGTGACGAAGGTGGAAGCCCGACCAACATCAGGTAAATTTAGCTCTCGACGTTTGTTTGTTTTGCTAAAAGAAAACAGAAAATCATATCTCTACACTGCAGTTCAAATGTGTTTGGATCCTTAAGTGTGAGTGAAAATTCTGCCCATTAAATGACCAAAGGCAACCGCAGCTCTACTGGAATTTAATCACACAAAATGAGACATATTAACTTTTTTGTTGTTTATCACCAAATAGTTTCATCTCTCCAGACCACCAGAGACTCTCTTCACACAGAATGAGTGAGAGAAGAAGTAACAGACCCCTGATTGGCCATCCGAGGGTCATGGGTTTGACTTTATTGATATTAATATTCAAACTACGCATGTGTAAAGGGAGTCCCCTCTGGCAGTCACCTGGGATTCATAGAACCATAGTTACATTTGCAACTCTCTCTCTATATATATATATTTTTTAATCACATTATAAATATCCAACATCTGTCTTTCTCCTCTCTGTCTCTTTGTACCTTGCGATCTTGTCACTGCAGGACATGGTGAGGAGCCTCTCTCCCTGTAAAACCCCGTCCCAGGTCTGGATGGTGTTACTGGAGCGCACAGGGATGGTCCCCTCTCCAGACTCGATCTTTGTCCTGAGCTGCCCCCGAGCCTTCCTGTTCGGGTGTCTGTCGCCCTGGTCTGGAGCAGGAACAGAAATTATTCATTCAGGTTATTCATAGATTAAAAAAAAAAAGTTTTTCAGACAGTCTGGCTAAGGGAAGGAGTGACTCATCATCTCTTACTTACAGTATATCTAACTAATGTATTTAGACCTGTATTATTTGACTTTTTACATGTTTTTAGACCCTCCTTTAGACAGTGTAGTGTGTTAAAGTGCAGTGAGGTGTGACCTTCGACCCCGGCCTCGTGGGGGGAGAAGATCCTGGCGTCTCCACAGGGCGAGGTGCTGATGTACAGGTGAAACTGCACGTTCTCTTTGAGCACAAACCCGGCTCTGTTCTCACACCGCGAGAAGATCGACTTCTGGTGGTCCTCGTCTGAGTTACTGCGATGACAAAGATCAGTCAAGGTCAGTTTGTAGCATATCTGAATAGAGATGGGCAGATAAACGATATTTGCTGATACCAATATTTATATTTAATACTTTTAAAATCCAGAGCAAGAACCACAAATTAAGTTTTCACTTCTGTAAATAATAACAAAATGTATTTATCTGTGATATATTGCGTAAATATATAGTTATATAAAGCTCATATTAAGCTATAATTTCAGTTTTTACACATTAGTCAAAGAAAAATCTGATGCCCTGAGGAAAATCTGAAGTATTTTGAAAACACCATCTGAATAACATTATTGGATAATGCAAAAACAATATATATATATATATATATATATATATATATATATATATATATATATATATATATATATATATATATATATATATATATATATATATCAGTGGTGCCTGTGGTGATCGGAGCACTTGGGGCTGTAACCCCCAAACTGGAAGAGTGGCTTCAACAGATACCAGGGAAAAACAATGGACATCTCAGTCCAGAAAAGTGCAGTACTGGGAACAGCAAAGATACTGCGCAGAATTCTCAAGCTCCCAGGCCTCTGGTAGAGGACCCGAGCTCAATGAGGGTGAGAGACCAACCACCGTGGAAGGTGAGAAACACATTTTTATATATATATATATATATATATATATATATATATATATATATATATATATATATATATACATACACACACACAAATAAAAATCGAGATACAGATTTGTTTATTTCAGTGACGCATGTAAAATTAAGGAGCTCATTGTTCATCTATAATTTTTGAACGTCCACCATGTTTTTCAGTCCCCTGTGATAAATATTTTTTTCTTTTTTCCCATGTGAGAAGCCATATTTGTTTTGATACAGACGGACTGTGGGTGTCTCTGATTGGCTAATCCACTTGTCAATCACGCCCATCTGAACTCACATCTTCATTAAATATTGGAGAAGTGTATATTCTGGATCCCCAACAACCAAAATTATATATATTACATGATATTTATTCAATCACTTTATTTATCCCCGAGGCTCTGTGCACAATAGCGTCCGGCAACCTCACTTTTCACGTCATTACTTTTTTTTTTTTGCTGAGTTGCACTAAAATGAATAAAGATTTAAAGATAAGGCAGTGAACAGCAGGTTGCAGGCAGATGTGACTGACAACAACATAAAAGTACACAAATAAAACAAATATTTCACAAGAGGCCACTAGTGGTTTGTGTGTTTTTGTGTTTAATAAATATTTTAACAACACCACAATTCTACAGATAAAAATACTCGGATAGTCTTTATTTGATTTAATTTGCATTTTGCCAATTAAAGGACCAATATCTGTCCACATTTGGTCTGATATTAGTACAACGTCAACACACACTGACCTGAGGAAGTGCTCTAGCTGCGAGTACAAGTATCTGATGAGGGACCTCCGAGCCACGATCTCGGCGTGACAGTCGTTCAGAGCCAGGCCCCGGTCCGACATGTACTCCCCGTTTATGCACTTGGTTCCCGTGGAAACGCAGATCACCTGGGCCTCCTTCACGTCCGTTCCTACGGCAACGCGACCAGGAAGAGTTTCAGCAAATCAGAAATGTTGTTTACGTTTTACGACTCAAGAACTGATAACTTGTTTGGTTGTCAAATAAAAAGTCAACGATAAAGTAAAGTAAAGCATCGAAACTAGATTCTAATAAGAACATTTCCTTAGAATTGTCTTCATCAGTTTTAATACTTTTATACTGTTACTTTACTACTAGTTTAAGACCACATGTGCCGCGTTTAATAAGAGCTTTAATTCTGAATAAAAATCTGAATAAAAATTTATTCTGGTTTAAAAAGAACATGTAAACACTTAAATTTAATTCTGAAGTAAGTGGGTGGTTTATTCTGATTTTAAAGGTGAACTAATTTATTCCTTGATCATGTAAACATTTATTCTTCTTAAAAATAATTCTGATCATTTTGTGCACGCTCGTTGTGTCGCCTTTCGATCCGGCTCCACCAGTCCTGGCTGGTGGTTAAAATCACGTTAGAGGTGAGATCAAGCTTTGACCTCAAGTCCGAGTCAAGTCCCAAGTCAAAAACAAAGAAGTCCATGTCGAGTCTCGAGTCACTGGCCCATAAGTCCAACTCCAAGTCGTCTGCTTTGAGCTCCAAGTCATTTCAAGTCTTTAAACCAAAGCTCCAAATACAGCTTAGATTTTTGCAATTTATATGAATTTTAACATAAATTGTACTTTAAAATCATAGTATATTTAAATATAAGTATTTATAGAGTATGTAAGAGCTGTAGAGATGTTAATTTTTCCTTTTTAAATGTCTTGACAAGATCTTAGAGTGAATTATTACGCTCAGAAAAGAAAGAATTCAGGTATGAAAGAGCTTCTCAAGTCTTCTCAAGTCACAGGCCACAAGTGTGAGTCAAGTCCCAAGTCCAAGTCGAGTTCCAAGTCTTAGTCCATTCAATCAAGTCAAGTCTCAAGTCCTAAAAATAGTGACTCAAGTCTGACTCAAGTCCAAGTCACAACCTGCAAATCCCCACTTCTGAATCACGGCAACACGTTTTGGCCCTCCGCTTTTTTTCAACTATGTAAAATAAAAATGGTATTGAAATAGGCACCCCCCCTTTACTGCCTTTTCTTATTTCCGAAGTGGCAGTAGCTGTTGTGTCCTTGAGCAAGACACCATCTATCTCATCTGATCAACTGTTCTGAGCTGGAGAGATACTTTATTGATTCATTGGTCTGTGTGTGATTTTAGTGGAAAATACACACAATCAAATTTCAACTAACTTATATTACAAAACTGGCACATTATTATTACTATTATTATGATTTTGAGTAGTTTATGTTACCTGTTGTCATGACGACCCCAGCCAGTACTTTCCTGCGCGCGTGCGGAGACGTGAAGTTGTCTGTGAGTTCGCTGAATTTATCCACCACCAAACGAGACACGGCATCGGCCAAAACCTACGAGGACAAAACAAAAACACAGATACAGTACAGTTAGACGATTTTAATATTTGGAAAATCTATAAGCATGAGAGCGTTTTTGAATAAAACTAAAATATACATAACATAAAACTTCTCCGGCTTGAATCTAGTGGTGAAAACGCTTAAAAATTGTGTAAAACTATGTAATTTTTTTTGTTGAAGATCCATCACATTCTTGTTTCTTGCCTCAAATGTTCCGCAGTGTGACATTAAACAGATCTACTTTACGTTTATTCAATTACGGGTGGTTTTATGGCTCACAGTGACCAAGAAAAACAACATTCTGACTGTAAGTGGCGTCGCTTCTCCACACAGATCTGACCCGTAACTTGGTCCGGTTTAGTCTCTCCACCAGAAAAGTTTGTTATTCCGATTTCAACTACATTACAATGACAGAAAAGTAAGAAAAAAGATAAATGTTGCTACTATAATTTAAAAAAAAAAACGACTGTACAATTATTTGAGGCACAGAAATCAAACACAATCTCCCACAGAACAATTAGCAATTATAAAAGCTAATAAAAACCCTCTAATCTGTATTAATATTATAGTCTCCTGATCGCCTTAGACCTGTTTAAGACCCCGCACATCCCTTTAAGACAGTGGAGCCCGTCCCTTAAAGACGCCCGTGTTTGGAGAGGCTGATGCTCATTTAGATTATGTCATTGTTATAAAGGATTACGGGGTCCAATTGGCTTAGCATGTCAATAGCTTCTTTCTGTGTCAAAATTATAATAAAAAAATATAAAAACAAAGAAGCAGCCGTCATCTTGGGAAAATTTGTGAACACTAATCATAGACGGCTCTGGTAGGGAATGTAAAATGTAAATAAAGACGATCATTTTTATATTTGATAAGCATAAAAACAAATCTGTCTTGCATTTATTTATTTATTTTATTTCTTTGGGTTTTTTTATCGCGCAAAAACATCTTGAAAAACACGAATTCTTACTAGGGATGTAACAATAACCAAAATATCGTGATATCGTATCGTCGAAAGTCTCTCAGTAATATCGTGGGTCATCACAATATATCGCATTACAAGTTTCTTTGCTTAAATTCATTGTTATAGTGCAGCAATAGCTAAAAAAACTAAAGGGAACTACCATGATCCTTTGGTTTTGGTGCGAACTACATGAAGAAATAACAGTTCTAAACACTTTTAAGTCTTAGTTGTTCGAATTAAGTCTTGTCAAGGCATTTTAAGAGGAAATAGTAGCATAATTATTCCCAGTTTTTTTGCCTCCATAAAATATCGCAATAAATACTGTACCGTGATACCGTGATATGTATATCGTGAAAATATCGTACCCCGAGAGTTGGATATTCTGAGAATATTGTTCTGTGACATGTATATCGTGAAAATATCATGCCGTGACATGTATATCGTGAAAATATCATGCCGTGACATGTATATCGTGAAAATATCATGCCGTGACATGTATATCGTGAAAATATCGTACCGTGAGATGTATATCGTGAAAATATCGTACAGTGAGATTTGGATATCGTGAAAATATCGTACCATGAAATGTATATCATGAAAATATGGTACCGTGAGATGTATATCGTAAAATATCGTAGCGTGAGCTGTATATTGTGAAAATATCGTTTTGTGAGATTTGTATATCATGAAAATATCGTACTGTGAGATGTATATCGTAAAAATATCGTAGAGTAAGATTTGGATATCGTAAAAATATCGTACCTTGTGATTTGGATATCGTGAAAATATCGTACCATGATGTCGTGAAAATATCGTACCGTGAAATTTAGATATCATGAAAATAACTTGCTGTGAAATTTGGATGTCGTGAAAATATTGTATCGTAAGATGTGGATATCGTGAAAATATCGTACCGTGAGATGTATGTCGTGAAAATATCGCCCCGTGAAATTTAGATATCATGAAAATATCGTACTGTGAAATTGGGATGTCGTGAAAATATCGTATCGTAAGATGTGGATATCGTGAAAATATCGTACCGTGAGATGTATGTCGTGAAAATATCGCCCCGTGAAATTTAGATATCATGAAAATATCGTACTGTGAAATTTGGATATCGTGAAAATATCGTACCGTAAGATGTGGATATCGTGAAAATATCGTACCGTGAGATGTATAGTCGTGAAATTTTTTTTATCATGAGATTTGGATATTGCAAAAATATCATACTGTGAGATTTGTACACAGCGAGACCTCCATAACAAAGTTACGCAGCGCACCTTTACATTACTTTTCAAGCAAAGCAAAGCTAATTTACCGGCTTGTTTCTAAATTCAGACTATAGACGATTTCCGTGTAGCAATAGCAGCTTGTTATAGATCTTTCCTGACGTTAGAATAATAGGTATTGTGTCGAGTTTAATGTAGCTACAGCAGTGTCCAACGGATTCAAACCAAAGGCATTTTTCACCGAGGCGCCGCTAAACAATACAAATGAACAGAGAACACCTGCAGGTGCATTTGTGATCATATACTGCATCCTGTCAACTTTTAAGAAACAATTGAGTTCGCTGTTTGGGATTCAAGTTTGTTTTAAAGAGCTTCAGGGCTTTTAAAATGAGGAATGGGTGTAGATTTAAATAAGTATAATAATATAGAAAGTTGGATAAAGAGACAATATTTAAAACTAAGATATGTTTTTGTTTCTTCAAATCAAATTGTGTTGGAAGAATGGGGCTCAGTGAATCATACAGGTTAAGTGTAAATATTCAAGAAGACCAATATAAGAACCTGAAATGTTTGTCAGTGTGGCATTACACTGTATGAGTATAGATTTTGTAATCAACACTTACTGAGGTTGAATTGACTTGAATTCATAAATGTCTATCCTGATTTGAGTAGTTCAGGAAGGTTAAAAAATGAATACTAGTCGATACTAGAACCAGTATAATCTAGATATTCTATATATTATCATATTGATACTGATAAAATACATAAATAGATGAAAATTGTACCTTTTCTACTTTAGAACAAGTTTTTTCTAGTTTCTAGCAGAGGTGGGACCAAGTCGTTTTGCAAGTTTTGCAAGTCTCAGGTAAGTATCAAGTCTTTGACCACAAGTCCGAGTCAAGTCCCAAGTCACAGACAAGCAAGTCCAAGTCAAGTCTCGAGTCACTGGCCCATAAGTCCAATTCAAGTCCAAGTCGTCTGCTTTAAGCTTCAGATCATTTCAAGTTTTAAACTGAAAAAAGTACCAAATACAGTTTAGATTTTTGCAATTTATATGATTTTTAAGATAAATTGTAATAAAATAAATAAATAAATAAAAAATCATAGTACATTTATATTTGAGTATTTATATTACTTCATAAAATGCTTCTTTATAAAAGAAAAATAGATATTTATATAACTGCTAATGCTTATTTTGTAGAAATTAGCATTTTTAAAGTTTTCCTTTTTAAATGTGTTTACAAGATCTTAGTGTGAATCATTACGGTCAGAATAGAAATAGTTCAGATTTAAAAGTGCTTCTCGAGTCCTCTCAAGTCACAGGCCTCAAGTCCAAGTCAAGTCCCAAGTCTTAGTCCATTTTATCAAGTCAAGTCTCAAGTCATGAAAATAGTGACTCAAGTCTGACTCAAGTCTAAGTCCCCACCTCTGGTTTCTTGTTTTTGAATGGTCTTTATATAGCACAACTAGCAAAGGACTACATGGAAACTAGGAACTACTATTACTTGGACTTTAAAAGTATCTTCTACTGTCTAAGAAAGAGTTTTTCAAGTATAATTCTCATGTCAACCCTTTTCCTTTGTATTGAAATTGGATGTGAAATTTGTTTTTACTAATTTTTCTAACTTGTTCCAATAATGTATATAATAATAATAACATACATAATACATAATTTATCTTCATTTCCCCTGTAAAAAGTGTGGATAAATACATAGTAGTGTGAGTGTCTGACCTGTGGCAGGTGCAGTTGCAGTCCTTCTCGTGGGATGGGCTGTCTGGAGGGAGCCTGGTCCAGCTGCATGTTGAACAGAGCTGACAGAGCCGCCTGAGCCGCTCGAGCTTTGGCCAGTTTCTTATTCCTCCCAGAGCCCTGAAAATGCTGAGAATCCACCGTCACCGACATCACGAAGTTTTTGGCGTGGCTCTCCCCGCTCTCTGACACAAAGTCGTACTTGAGGCCGGGGCGCAGTTCGTTCAGGATCATAACGGGATTCTTGCCGCTGTTTGGGGACATGAAGGCGGTGGGGGCGGGGGGCAGAGGAGCTTGGACCAGGCTGGGCAGTGGAGAGGGGAGGGCGGGGTAGTCCGAGCTGAAGGAGCCGTTGCTGTTGGAGGCCAGATAGAAGGGGTCATCTGTGGGAGCCGAGGTCTCGAAGGCGTTGAACAGCATGTCTGGGAAGTCGGCCTGGTCTGAGGTGAAGTCTGTGTGCACGGACATGGTTCTGCCCATCGCCATGTGGGCTTCGGACGCGTTTGGGAACTGAACGAATGACCTCAGTGCTTTCTCCGCCGCGTTGAGCTTGGCCTTCTTCTTGGTGGGACCGGAGCCTTCGAAGAGCTGCCCGTTCACCTCCACGGTCATGACGAACACAGGCGCGTGCACTGGACCGGTCTGAGACAGGAGCTTGTACTGGAGTCCAGGCTTGATCTCATTCAGCTGCATCAGGGCATTTTTGGGCAGAATCGGGCCTGGCACTTTCTTACGCTTCTTGGGCCGGTACTTGGAGTGCGCATGCCCGTTATTGCCCTCCTCTAGGGGGCGTTTCCTCCCCCCGGCGCTCCCATTGGGGAGAGCCGGCTCTGGGGCAACCCCCTCTTTGGAGAAGAGATTGTCCAAGTTGCGGTTTTCCTTAACATCTGTGCTGCATGAACCTGCGGTGCCCAGAAAGAGTAACTTACAACGCCTTCGATGCAGGATCTTGTAAATGTAAAATTTAGTTATTCCTTTTTCTGTCTTTGCAACTGAACGAGTGATGAGTGTTCCTCTGAGCCTGATCCGAGTGAGGGGCAGTCATGTTTCCATCAATAAAACTATAGGCTGTTTGGAGTCACTTTAGTCCCTGTGCTGAACTCTGGTATTTACTTAAATGAAAGATTCACAGTGTCCTTAAAAGCCAAAAAATCACTCAAATTTAAACTAAACTTGATTGAATTATCCAATTTGCTAAATGCCTTCACTGTGATTTAGTAACATAATAAAATACTGCCCTATATTGTACACTGCATCCTGAACAAAAGTGCTGTAAGTACTATTTACTGAAAAAAAAGAGTTTGCAATTATTATTCAGAATTTTTTTTGCAATTATTCAAAATTTTTTTAATCAATCATTTATTCAACATTTTTCATCAATCAATTATACAAAATTGTTCATCATTAGCCTTTTGTGTTTCTGTCAATAACCTTCGTACTAAGAACGTTGATGGAAACATGACTTTAAAACATTCAAATCGTGTACGAATCTAAAATCCCAACTCGTTCAATTTTCTAATTCACTTTCAATTCTTCCCTAAAAGTTTCAAAATATTTAACATCATTTACTGTCTTATTGTAACTCTCAAGATAAACAAAATCCTCAGTGTATGTATTTTGTCTTAATAAATTTGGCTAGATATGTATTATGGGAACACATATCACCGGGCCCTGTTAACAAAGCCAATGGAACTCAATGTAAATTTCCATTTATAACATCCTCCAGCAAAAGCTCTGATAGGTTACTCCTTTCGGTGCAGGACAAAAACACTCTAAAATGCAGGCTGTTTAGTTTGGGTTTAGTGGTGGGACAGATGGGGGGGTTCAGACAAGGGTGCACGCTTTCCCCAAAACTCTTTCAATCTAAACTGAAGCCTGAAGGAAGATACCACATCATAATTATATCCACTCATCAAAATCAGCAATGTCAAAGATCCGGGGGTTAAAGCAACACTGCGGGACACTGACGAGCCCCCTGGTGGACAACATATGTTACTGCAGGTGTTATTTAAAGCAGCAATAACGTTTCTTGGTTGACTTTTAGTTGGATTCTTGTCATATACTTTAAAGTACTGTACAAATTGAATAACAGATTTCCAAAATGCAGTCTTGGTATTATTACAATGTCAAATTTTGTCTTTTTTAACTTCTAAAATATTAAAATAAAATGAATAAAACTCATACAAAACTAGCAGCATAAGACAGTTAAATCTGTGTGTCATTCGTTCATTTATTTTTCAAAATAAAACCAAAAATAAGAAAATGAAAAGACAACAATTTTCTTTATTATTCGTCTCCAAAGCCAAAATGAAAAAATGGATAATGATTTGTTTTTTTCAGTTTTCGATTTTGTGTTTAAATGAAGAATGGAAAAAACGGATAACGGACGTTTCCTGTTTCGTGACTGAAACTATGATGCCGGACTGAACCAGGACTAAAACAAGACTAAAACAGGACTAAAACAGGTCCGGGACCAGACCGGAACCAAACCGAGACTGAGACCAGGACTGAGACTGGGACTGAGACCGGGACCAGACCAGAAACAGGACCAGAACTGAGTCCAGGACTGAGATCGGAAACTGGGTCAGGACTGAGATCGGGACTGAGACCAGGCACAGACCAGGACCTCACCGGGACTGAGACCGGGACCGGACTGGGACTGAGACCAGGATCAGACCGGGACTGAGACCGGGACTGAGAACGGGAACAGGACCAGGACTGAGACCAGGACTTAGACCAGGAACAGGACCAGGACTGAGACCAGGACTGAGGCCGGGACCAGACCGGGACCAGCTCAGCATCAGACCGAGACCAGACCAGGACTGAAAACGGTTTAGTCCTGGTTTAGTCCTGTTTTAGTCCTGGTTTAATCCTGGTTTAGTCCTGGTCTAGTCCTGGTTCAGTTCGTTATCCATTTTTTCCATTATTAATTTAAACCCAAAATCAAAAACTGAAAAAACAAATCATTATCCATTTTTTTATTTTGATTTTGGAGACAAATTATGAAGAACATAGGTTTTTTTTTTTCCATTTTCTTATTTTTGGTTTTATCTTGAAAAACAAATGAACGAATGACACACAGATTCAGTTAATTTCACATTAATGAGATTGTTGATATTGTTTAAATACCAACTTAAAGCTTAATCGTATTTATTATATCCTTTAATAATCACAGAAAGGCCATAAATATCTAAAATTAGCCAAAATGTATTAAATTATTGGAGTAAATATGACATATGCATGATTCTAAGTAAGCAAGTATTTACCATAACTTAAGACTTTGGGCTCAGTATCTTAACAAATCAAAAACATAATTCTGACACTGATAAATTCCACAGTGTTGCTTTAAACATAACCCATAATTCCGGTCATGCAGTTGTGGCCATGCTCAGACAGAAACATGCAAAACCAGGACAGATATGAAAACAATGGGGCTAATGCGAGCGGATTAAACGCCTTTAGGGAACTACGGCGGCCATTTTGTTTGTTGTAGTTCTTAGCTGTAGTTCTTCTCTAAATGTACAGATAACATTAAGCTTATGGATAATCTTTAAAAACAATACCAAAGTTGATTTATGTTCTGAAGTTATTTCTGTTGCTACTACGATTTATTTTTCGAATATAAAATGTTCCTTTCAGAATCCACCCAAGCTTGCATCCTTTGTTAATTTCGCTTATTGTAGTCTGTCTAATCCGGTTTTATTTGTTTATTTTTCCAGTTTTTGGCCAGCAGTGAATAGGGACTGGATTATGAATGTCCGAACACTAATAATAAATGTAAAATGCCATTTCAGTAAATTCTAAGATAATCTGCTTGTGTCAAATGTATCATTGTGAACCAGTGAGGAGAAATATCCAGTTAAACTCAGATTTTAATACAATCTTTTAATGCAATTCTGGAAATTAGAAAGCGGTATTGATGAGTTTTATTTATTTATGTTATAATATTAAATCCACGTGTCATTCGTTCATTTGTTTTTTAAAATAAAACCAAAAATAAGAAAAAAAAACAACTATTTTATTCATTATTTGTCTCAAAAAAACAAACAAAAAAACAACAACAAAAAAACAGATAATGATTTGTTTTTAAAATTTTCGATTTTGTGTTTAAATAAATAATGGGGAAAAAACGGATAACGGCCGTTTCCCACTTAAACTGTGATACCGGACTGAACCAGGACTAAACTGGTCTGGTCTCAGTCCCTGTTTCAGTCCTGGGTCCTGTTCCCAGTCTCAGTCCTGGTTTGGTCCCGGTCTGGTCCCAGTCTGGCCCCGGTCTCAGTCCTGTCTGGTCCAGGTGTCAGTCATGGTCTGGTCCCTGTCTGGCCCTAGTCTTAGTCCTGGTTTGGTCCCGGTCTGGTCCTGTTCTCAGTCCTGGTCTCAGTCCTGGTCTCAGTCCTGGTCTCAGTCCTGGTCTCAGTCCCAGCCTGTCCCAGCCTGTCCCCAGTCTCAGTCCCGGTCTGGTCCTGGTCTGGTCCTGTTCTCAGTCCCAGTCTCCTCCTGGTCTCAGTCCTGGTCCTGTTCCTGGGCTCAGTCCTGGTCTCAATCCTGGTTTAGTCCTGGTTCAGTCTGGCATCGCAGTTTAAGTCACATAAACGGGAAACGGCCATTATCCGTTTTTTCCATTTTTTTGAAAACTGAAAAAAACAAATCGTTATCCGTTTTTTCATTTTGGTTCTGGAGACAAATAATGAAGAAAATTGTTGTTTTTTCATTTTCTTATTTTTGGTTTTATCTTGAAAAATGAATGAACGAATGACACACGGATTGTATTATGTTACTATTTTATTTCTAAGCCAATATTGAGTGTGTAATACGCAAAATTTACATCAGATGCCCTCCCTAAACTAGAAATTGTCTAGTCCTGGTTTAGTCCTAGTCTAGTCCTGGTTTAGTTCTGGTTTAGTTTTGGTCTAATCCGGATGGTGTAGTCTTGGCTTTGATCTAGTTTAGTCTTGATTTACTCTTGGCTCATTTCTGATCTAGTCCTAATAAAGCCCTAGTTTAGTCCTGATCTAGTCCTGGTCCAGTTCTGGTTTAGTCCTCCAGTCCCTATCACTGGACTACAGCCGTTTCAGATCCTTCTAGTTACAAAGAAAATGCAAAAATAAGCAGAAATACAATGACAGAGAAGAGTTGACCTTTAGCAGTTTGAAACCTTTTATGAGTCTGACTTTTCTCTTATCGGAATATTTCTCATCAAAAGTTCAAATGAGCTGACACAGGAAGTCCGTTCAGAAAAATACATCTAACTCACCAAGAATTTAATCTGTTCATTCAGGATCTAGACCTGGTTTAGTCCTGATAGAGACCAAGTCAAGTCCTGGTTTAAACTTTGTTTAGCCCGATGGTGGCACAGTGGTTAGTCTCCTACCTCTGTGCAAGTGGTTTTCTGGTTTCAGATCTGGTTTAGTCCTAGTTTAGTCCTGGTTTAATCCTGGTTTAGTTCTGTTTTTAGTCCTGTTTCTGGTTCTAGTTTAGGGTTACACTGATTTCGTCCTGATTTAGTCCTTTTAGACCTGGTTTGATCCTTGTTTAGACTGGTTTAGTTCTGATTTATTTAGTCCTTTTTTCAGTCCTCGTTTAGTCTTAATTTAGTCCTGTCTGAGACTGGTTTAGTCCTGGTTTAGTTCCAATTTAGTCCTGGTTTAGACTGGTTTAGTCCCAATTTCATCCTAGTATAGTCCTGGTTTAGTCTCAGTTTAGTCCTGGTTTAATCCTGGTTTAGTCCTGGTTTAATCCTGGTTTAGTTCTGTTTTAAACCTTGTTTTTGTTTCTAGTTTAGGGTTACACTGATTTCGTCCTGATTTAGTCCTTTTAGACCTGGTTTGATCCTTGTTTAGACTGGTTTAGTTCTGATTTATTTAGTCCTTTTTTCAGTCCTCATTTAGTCTTAATTTAGTCCTGTCTGAGACTGGTTTAGTCCTGGTTTAGTCCCATTTTCATCCTAGTATAATCCTGATTTAGTCATGTTTCAGACTTGGTTTAGTCTCCTACTCTACTCCTGGTTTAGTCTTAATTTATTTTCCTGGTTTAGACTCGTTTAGTCCATCTTTATTTAGACCTTTTAGTCCTGGTTTAGTCTCAATTTAGTCCTGTCTTAAGACTGGTTTAGTCCTGGTTTAGTTCCAATTTAGTCCTGGTTTAGACTGGTTTAGTCCCAATTTCATCCTAGTATAGTCCTGGTTTAGTCCTGTTTCAGACTTGGTTTAGTCTCCTAATCTAGTCCTGGTTTAGTCTCAGTTTAGTCCTGGTTTAATCCTGGTTTAGTCCTGGTTTAATCCTGGTTTAGTTCTGTTTTAAACCTTGTTTTTGGTTCTAGTTTAGGGTTAGACTGATTTCGTCCTGATTTAGTTCTTTTAGACCTGGTTTTGTCCTGCTTTATTTAGTCTTTTTTTTAGTCCTGCTTAAGTCTCAATTTAGTCCTGGCTTAGGCTGGTTAAATCCTGGTTTAGTTCCAATTTATTCCTTGTTTAGACTGGTTTAGTCCCAAATTCATCCTAGTATAGACCTGGTTTATTACATTTAGACCTGGTTTAATCCTGTTTCAGACTTGGTTTAGTCTCACTGATCTAGTCCTGGTTTAGTCCCAGTCTGAGTCTTGTTTCAGACCTGGTTTAATCCTGGTTTCGTTTTACATTTCACCTCCAAACTTCACCATTTACAAACATATTCCACACACTCTTGTTTCGCTCCCATACGTCTGACACACTCCTTTATTCACTTAAGACCCTTTCAGAAAAATAGTTTGATTCAAATCTTACTTTTAGCCTTTCCAAACTACAATAAAATCCACTTCTCTGGAGCCTGACCTCGGACTTAGCCTCCAAAGCAAAGATAGATAGTTTTAAAGGGAAGGTTGTGGGCGGAATAAACAAAAGGAAGGGGGGGGGGGGAGTAATCTGAGCGGGGAGCGGGTTTAACTCTGTGGAGGTGCAGTGAGGCGGGCGGGTGCAGGACACATGAAGAGTTTAAACACAGAAGCAAAAACATCACAAACTCACTCATGGTTTCCACTGAGCTGCCCTCTGTCACAGCGGCAGAGCTACGGGCGGAGCTACGACCTGAAAAACACACACAAAACACACAAGATATCAGCATAAAGTAAGAAAGTACAAAACAGAACTCATCGAATCAACCAAAAATATGGAAAAATATGCAGTGTATGCTTTCAGATAAATAACATTTCTTAATCTTTGGGGAGTTATTTTTTTAGTTTTAGACCAAAATACCAACAAATGAAAAGACAAGACATGAGATTGGATCCACAAGTTAAAAAAAAGACAAGAGTTTGACATTATTTAGGTCAGGGGTGTCAAACTCAAATTCACAGAGGGCCAAAAGTAAAAACTGGACTAAGTCGTGAATCAATCTAAATATTTATTGAAAAATTTCAACAACATCTGCATGTTTTCTTTTCTTTCGAGATAAGTTATGTTAAACCTTTTCTTACTAAAATAAATGTTTAATAATAGTTTTGCTTAAACATTGACTCCACAACAAGCAGAATATAAAATACTCACACAATTTTAAATAAATAATGTCTCTGTAGTCCATCTGTAGTCGGCGGGCAGATCTAATACATATTTGATATGATCTCACGGGCCAAATATAATTATATCATGGGCCACATTTGGCCCCGGGGCCTGAGTTTGACATGTCTGATTTAGGCTATAATAAATACATTGTGCATTTCAGTTCCCAGTTTTAGCTTCACCATTTCTGATTTACTTTATTTAAGATTTCTGCTGTCACTGCAACTCTAGTTTTTTTGGGACCACACTCGAAAAATGTAACTCACCAGTACATTTCTTTAATCCAAATGTAAAAACGAGGAAAAAATCTCACAAGATCATATAGTATGTGTGCACAATCTCATGGTAGTTTTGTCTCGCGAGATCTTGTGGCTTGAGAATTATTACACACAAATAATTTTATTAATAATGACCATTCAAACATTATTCCACTGGACAGGCTGGTAAACTGCGTATACACGTTTATACAAGAAAAAAAGAGTAATTTTCATTTCAGTATCATGGTCCATAATTCATGAAACTCTCCAACACACCTTCTTAAAAGCCACTGTCACTGCTGATGTACAAATCCACATTAAAATTTAAGCTGTGCAATAATTTCGATTTGTGTGTCAAATGATCTCCAAACTCATATAATCGAGTTGAAACGAATAAAGCTTAATAAAGTTTATTTTGGGATATGTTTTGCATAAATAAGTACAGGTATGTCTATTTTATTTTTTAAGCATAGAGTGTTTTTTTTTTGAGAGAGAAATGCTGAATAAATGCATTGTGTAATTTAAAAATAATCATGATTTCAATATTGACCAAAATAATCGCGATAATGATTTTTTTCCAGAATCAAGCAGCACTACTGCTCACACAATATTTTAACGTAAAGGTGTGCAAAAATATCAAAATATCGTAGAGTTTAATGTGAGTACAGTATCGATATATCGCCAAGAGAAGTTTTAGGTATATTTTACAAAATTATTTCATTACAGCTGCAATCGCGTTGCTTATTTTGAGGTACGACACATCGTTTATGCGACACATTTGACATTTTCACAGTTTTGATGATTAAAATGTTTGTGTTTCATATTAACTTTGCACAAGACGTGGTTTAACAAAGACTTTTAGTATCACAGTCATTATTTAGAAACAATTTTTTTATTGAATCGATTTGAAATATTATCGTATCGAATCGAAAAGCTCACTGTATACACGCATTTTTACAGTTTGTCTGTCAAAACCTGCTTTGATTAACTGTATTTTTTCTGCTAAATAAATAAATAAATAAATGATTAAAGGTGCGTTGTGTAACTTTTCTGATATGGGTCCACCTGCTCGTCTCCATGGAGATGTTATCGCTTTGCCAGGAACATTTATTTTATTAGATAACAGTTCAAAAAATACACATTAAACATACTGTGGAACATTCCAGAAAAATATTACAACAGACCCTCCACCGGAAAAGTTACTTGAAAAATCCTAAATATTGTAATTCTTTTGTCGTTGGCGCTAAACTGTGGCTGTCACCGCCGTCCCCGCCCGCTCTGATCCACTCCGGCGCTGACAGGAGCTCTTGTCTGCGGAGCGATATCCCATGATGCACTGCTGCCGCGGTTAGACGGTAATCAGGAAGCTGCCAGTCACCGCGACGCACCAGAGACATCGCCAAACAGACCTTTATCAGCCCTGACGAGACGACGAGCGAGATACAACACGAGCGCCGACACACGGGATTAAACACCGGGAATTAAGATCGTTACTGTAAAATTACAACGGGGAATTGTTTTGTTTGGGCGAAGGAAGCACGGATTAAGTGATTTTTACAACTAAACTTGATTAAAAATGACAAGAACTTCTCAGAATTTAAAGGTTCACCATGTAACGCTTCTGTTTTTCTCTGTCTTATAATGTTGTTTCCTCCTCAAAAAACAGACCTGGTGTTGTGTTTTGTTTCATTCACACAAGTTTGATGAACTCTTTATTATTATTAGTTTATTATTTACTATTATTATTAGTCTGTTTACATCTCCAAAGCTCAAAATGTCAGCCTAAATAACGAGGAATCCGTGTGTCATTCGTTCATTCGTTTTTCAATATAAAACCAAAAAAAGAAAATGAAAAAAACAACAGTTTTCTTCATTATTTGTCTCCAAAACCAAAATGAAAAAACAGATAATGATTTGTATTTTCAGTTTTCGATTTTGTGTTTAAATGAAGAATGGAAAAAACGGATAATGGCCGTTTCCCGTTTCCCGTTTACGTGACTTCCGTGACTGCGATGTCGGACTTTTGCGCAGCATACGGACTGAACCAGGACTGATCCAGGTCTGGGGCCAGACCGGAACCAGACGGGGACCAAACTGGGACCAGAGCGGGACCAGACCGGAACCAGACCGGAACCAGAGCGGGACCAGAGCGGGACCAGAGCGGGACCAGAGCGGGACGGAGACCGGGACTGAGACCGAGACCAGACTGGGACCAGACCAGAGGCTCAGAGCCCATGGCAGGGCCGGTGCTCGAAGCTGAGGCTCAGACCCTGCGGAGGCTCGGAGTCAAAGCTCGAAGTCCGCTCTGGTCCCACTCTGGTCCCACTCTGGTCCCGGTCTGGTTCCGGTCTGGTTCCGGTCTGGTTCCGGTCTGGTTCCGGTCTAGTCCTGGACCTGGATCAGTCCGTATGCGGTGCAAAAGTCCGGCATCACAGTCACGGAAGTCTCGTAAACGGGAAACGTCCGTTATTCATTTTTTCCATTCTTCATTTAAACACAAAATCGAAAACTGAAAAAACAAATCATTATCCGTTTTTTCATTTTGGTTTTGGAGACAAATAATGAAGAAAATAGTTGTTTTTTTCATTTTCTTATTTTTGGTTTTATATTGAAAAACGAATGAACGAATGATACACGGATTTCGAGGGTTTGGGCGTTAAACTGTGAGTGAAACTAAACACAAGTCCAGGACTGTTTGAGAAAATAGTGTAATATGAAAGTCTTAAACAGAAGTAGGCGATTTGCGATTTAAAATGTCCAAAAAATAAAATTATGCGTCATAGATTATAACTATAGCAGACAAACGCATATGCCGTATTTTTCAGACTTGTGCAGGTAATATGTGATCTCTAGAATGTTCCACAGTGTTGCTTTAATATTACTGTGGGGTTGTTGTCCCGGTGTGAGCGCGTCGTCTCTCTTTCTCTCTCTTTCTCTCTTACAGTTCGTTCAGTCGTTCTCACTTCTGCGTTTGAATATTTCACGTTTTTGTAAACAAGTGTTTTGAACAAAAGCGCAGCTCCACGGCCGCGGGATGATAAAAAAAAAAAAAAAAAACACTTCTGTCGACTTTTCACTTCCTCTCCTCTTCATTTGCTCCTGTTATCTGAGACCTATAAGCCCTGAGAGAGAAGAGGAAGAGAGAGAGAAAGAGAGAGGAGGAGGAAAAAGATAAGAGAGAGAGAGGAAGAGAGAGGGAGGGACGGAGAAAGAAAGTGAGGGAAGTGAGGAGAGAGAAACAAAGAGAGTGTGGAAATTTTAGAGAAATAGAAAATGAGGTGGGAGAGAGAAATGAGAGAGAAAAAGGGGGAGGAAGAGAGAAAAAAAACGAAGAGAAAAAGAGAAAAAAACGGATAATGGCCATTTCCCGTTTCAGTGACTTAAACTGTGATGCCGAACTGAACCAGGACTGAACCAGGTCCAGGACGAGATCGGAACCAGACCAGGACTGAGACCGGGACCAGGACTGAGACCATGATTGAGGCCAGGACCAGACCAGGACCAGACCAGGACCAGACCGGGACTGAGACCGGGACCAGGACTGAGACCATGATTGAGGCCAGGACCAGACCAGGACCAGACCAGGACCAGACCGGGACTGAGACCGGGACCAGACCGGGACCAGACCAGGACTAGACAGGACCAGACAAGGACTGAGACTGAGACTATTTTGGGGACTGAGACTGGAACCAGACCAGGACCAGACTATGATTGAGACTGGGACTGAGACCAGGACCAGACGGGGACTGAGATCGGGACCAGGACTGAGACCATGATTGAGGCCAGGACCAGACCAGGACCAGACCAGGACCAAATCAGAACCTAACCGGGACTGAGACCGGGACCAGACCAGGACTGAGACCGAGACCAGAACCGAGACTGGGACTAGTCCAAGACTGAGACTGAAACCAGACCAGGACCAGACTTCTGACTGAGACTGGGACTGAGACCGTGATTGAGACCAGGACCACACCAGAACCAGACCAGGACTGAATACAGTTTAGTCTTGGTTCAGTCCTGTTTTAGTCCTGTTTTAGTCCTATTTTAGTCCTATTTTGACACGGAAACGAGAAATGAATCATTATCCGTTTTTTCGTTTTGATTTGGAGACAAATAATGAATGATTTATTTATTTTTTTCTTATTTTTGGTTTTATCTTGAAAAACAAATGAACGAATGATACACAGATTCTTCAGGCTGCAGTCTGAACGTAAATAAATTCCTCATCTCCAAATTCGCTCCTATAACCGCAAGCGTCGATGAGCTTCATTT